GGGCCGCGCCCGCCCGCGGAGGAGGGTCCCTCGGGGGGGCCGGGCCGGGCGAGCCTGTTGTCCTCCACCCGGAAGCGCTGCGGGCCCCGGGGATGGGACGGGGCCGGGCTTCACCTGTATCTGCCGGGTGGTGGGGGCCTGCGCCTTCCGCGGGAGCTGCCGGCCCGGCCCATCCCGGCCTTGCGGGGGATGCGCCGGTGAGCGTCTTCCCTGCCTGGCCCCGGCGCCCTGCTACCCTGAGAGCTGTCTCTCTCCTCCGCCTCTGCCCGGGGGCTTCTTGTAAGAGCTGGCGCCGGCGGCGGGGTGATGACAAGCTGCGGTACTCCCGCGCTGCGGATCTTCCCTCAGGCTTCCTGTGCCGGGCTGGGCTGGCAAGTTGTGGGGCAGGAGGTGTCACACGTTCTGCTGCCTGTTCCCTTCTTGTCACAACCTCTTCCCACCCCTGACCCGAAAGGGACTCGGCCCATCGCACACGGGTGGTTCACTCCTCTGTTCCTCAAGCAGTTAATTCATTTCTGAAATAAAGACGTTCTGCTATTTCTTTGCCCTTCCAGTTAATACGCACAAGATTATCTTTATCCTCTAAGTAAATGAGGCTTTTTGGGTGCGGTCTTCAACCTTCCATTAGCCAAATCTTGTTTTTTCCTTCCCATGCTCCTGTGAATGGATCTTGGCTAGTGCCTGCTTTATTGGCTTCAAGCTATTTGAGTTGAGTAAGTTAGGTTGGACTTAAAGTCATGTATGTGGCTAATGAAAAATGTTGTGATCTGAGATCTAAATCATTGTGTTTTAGAGCAGTGATTCTCAACCAGGGCACCATGAGATGCTTTTCAAGTTGCCCCGTTCAAGCATGGTTAGATATGCAAGCATCTACAAGTGATTCATAAGCTAAACCTTGAGGTTTTAAATAAGAATTCATAGGGTGAGTCCAGATGTGCGTGGAAGTTTGGTAGCAGACCTTGCGCTGAATGCTGCTGGAGCATGTACTGTTTCGGGTTTTTTTCTGTGGTTTTTGTTTTGTTTTGTTTTTTTTTGTTTTTACCCCTGGGTATCCAGAGGTCAAAAAAACCCATGATGAAAAAAAAATGGAGCAGCACACGTTCAGACAGCGCACCCTTGCAGCATGAAGAACGCTGGACTGTGTGGTATGTGGCACTGCAAATGTGTTTGTGGTACCACATACCACATGACTGCACTCATTTGGATGCACCCATCATGTCCCAAACATTTTGGCCTGTTTTGGTCTTTCTCAGTGCTTTGAAATAGAATAATGATTCTATTTTTCTAGCCTTTTCGAGTAAAGGCTAAGAGCTGATATTTTCAAAGGGTGCTTTGAGTCTAACAAGTTTGAGAGCCACTGCTTTAGATGATGGGATAAGAAAGAAAGCTTCTGTATGGTCATTTTTTCCATAATTGTTTTCCAGAATATAGTATCTTGAACCGTTTATTGAAGGATGACTTGTACAGGTTGTTTAGAGAGGCTTACTCACATTTATATGAACTTATACACCTGCTTAAGGTTACTACCAAGAATAGTCTCATTGATTTCAGTTGAACTAGTCACAGTAGTAAAGCTAAGTACCTATGCGGGTACATAGCGTATTACAGAATATAAGGATCTCACTGCAACCTGGTCCAGAGAGAACTTTACTGGGTTTCCCTCTTCCATAAAATTTTATTGGCAAATATGAGCATTAATTACAGAAATAACATTAATGAAATAACATTTTTGGAGAAGTGGAGTGAGTCACCATGTTCACTGATGAGTTTATATTTGGGTAGTTAATATTGCACAATAATAGGTCATTATTATAGCCTGATTCAGAGAGCAGTAATTTGAACTTCTTGGTGTATTTGTTCTGGATTTTATAGGTGAACTATATCTTCTGTGTACTGCTTCCTACTCAGAAATGCTGTATGATTTGATTATATAAAATCTTTTGGTTGTATTGCCATTTCTGCATCTCCACAGCACATTCTGTGTCTAATAAAGGTTATACTCAGGTAATACTGTATTCTACTGGCTTTTGTCATTCAGGTGTGATTCAGGTGTCCTTATGCCAAGGTCCCGTTTCGTTATAAGACATTCAGATTAGTCTGTTTTTCTTTATGTTAATTGCATGTGGATACCTAGGCATGGATCCAGAAAGATGCATCTTTTATTTGCACTTGGTTTTGATTTTTCTGAGCTCAGCTTGTCCCTACACCACTTTAAAAATATTTAACATGTAAAGTTGCCATGCAAATTTATTTTGGTACTTTTTACATTGGAACAAGCACTGTGTGGTGCACACAACTCACCTTAAATGCCTGGTCATATTACTCTTACCACTTTTCCACCACCAATCCTTCCCTGTTGTGGTGACACCCACTTGTTGCATTTTTTTGTAAATTAGACTCTTAAGTTTTTGTGGGCTAGGACTGCTTTCCTACTTATTTGTACCTCTGGCTCAACAAAACCAAATCTTTACCAGAGTTTTTGAATGTTATCCTAGGACTTAATAAATAAGAATGAAAATGATATATATTCTAAAGTACAGACTGTCTTTGTATTAATGGGATGTTGTTAACCTAGAATTTACAGTTCTTTCAGACATATCTTTATTATTTTCACAGGCAACATCAAAGATAAATGCGACTAAAATACTAAAGAAATTAGAATTTTCTTTTTTTAGTTTTCTGTTACCAATCTGACAGGTCTTCAAATATAATTAATTCAGTTCCTGCTTTTTTCACATAGTGATATATGAAGAAAACTTTAAAACAAAAAATATGAGTGAAAAGCAGCAAAACAGGACTTGAAAGCAATGGGGTTGTTCCCTCAAACAACTTCTAATTCATGTTTTTAAAAGTGATTGGATTTCAAACTGTTTGCCTCATAGTTAACTGAAGTACAGATGGGGTATCAATGCATATTCAAATAGGAGATAGAACTTTTAAAGACATCAATTATAAGTATAATCATATTAATGTAGGAGAATATTATGTGATCATCCAGACTTTTCAAGTCTGTGTCACATTGTTTCCAACAGTACCATTTAATTTCATTTTAGACTAACAGGATTGCACCCTCCATCAGATAGTCCAGGTGGCATAGCACATTTTTGGGAAGATTGTTCAAGTGATATTTTTTATTACTTTTAGAAGGACTTTGCCAATCTATTTTGAAGAAAGTAAGCCTCTCCTAGTGTGATGGCTCTACATTGCAGATGTTCAGGAATGTTTATTTGCATCAAAATGGTACCTATCTCCCCATTTCCAAAAGCAATGGATACATTGAGAAACAAACAAAATGATTTTTTATTCTTGCAGAATTGTAAATTATCTTTATATTTTCAGACCCTGTTTATCTTTTAGTCTTTATCATAAGTTGATGTCAGTGATTCCAGTAGCTTCAGTAAACAAATGTTCTGAACAAAATGTAAAAAATAAATACATTTATTCATCTTTTCCTTTTAATCTCATTTTTGTACCCACTCTCTCTTTCATTTTTGAAACTTTCATTTGTTTGACCTTTTATCTGATTCATAGTTTCAGCTTGATTTTGTTTTTTGCATGAGCATGAGAAGTAAGCCCTTATAGTAAGAACAGTAATGGCCTTTCTATTGGTTGTTCACACAGAGACCCTTCATCTTCATTTTCAGCTCTGTCCCTGTTTTACCAAAGACATATTTTCATTGTTTCTCTGCACATGCCCTAGTCCTTTAGTTTTGCTAGCAGTGCCGGGTTTGTAAGCTGGATTTTTTTGCACTTGTTCATTTGATAGGACAAATATTGGTAAGTTCCTTCTTGTGTTTTGACTTGGTAGGCAGAGTAACTAATCACCAGCTTCCAATTTGTTTTCTTCCTGTCCAGCTGCACCCGTTCTACAGGCTGACTCCACTGTTTTCCTCAGTTTATCTTTTGCCTCAGCTAAGCAAGTGCCTTTGGCCCTCATGCCTCAGTCAACTGAATGTCAGGCAGAAAATGCTGTGGTTATACATACCCAGATATCTTCATGGTATTGCATTATTACCTTCCTTCTTACTGTTCCCTGTGATTCATTGGAACAGACACAGGTTTCAAGTCTTCTTCCCGGGCAGGTAAAAAGCTCTCTTGCAGCAAGGCATGTGGTTACAGCAGCAAGCTAGCAGTCTCTGGCTTTCTTTTCCTTCAGGTGGTAAGTTCTCCGCCCTCTGCTCACATTTTGTCTGGGCAGTCACTGTTCGATGCTTTGACTTCTTGAGGTAGAGAGCTTGTAATGCCGGTCTTCTGAGCACTCTTCATGACAGCTAGTATTTCAAAATTAATCCTATCCACCTCTTCCAGGCTTACAAGCTTCAATGGTCTTTCCTCTGCAGTGACAGAACCTCCACTTGTTCAGAAGATCCACTTGTTTAAGGATTCTGAAACACTAGAGAAATCAGCACTGAAGCCCCCATCCAATTTCTCCCACAGTCTTAGAGCAGTTCTGTCCTGTGCTAGAAAAAAAAATACATGGGAGCTAGCTGTTAAAGACCCTGTAGCTGAAGGGAGCATAACTTTTGGAAACCAGTAATGATTACTCTGCCTAGTAAATTTGAAATTGAATAAAAATCCTATGGTCAGGTTTGTAGAAGTGTAATTAACAAGTAGTGAAAATCTCCATTTTTCATATATATTTTTTTAAATTCTTGACCCCTTCTTTCCACTTTTGTATTTCAAATCTTATAATAGTAAGACACAGCATGTCTCTAGAGTTAGGGGTTTGGACATTCCTTTAATAATGACTTTTTCTTTAAATGTGAAGCAGTAAGTACACTTATTTGTTTCAACTCTTCTTTTCTGTGCTTTAGGAAACTGAGAAAAGCTGTTCCACCCTCATCCAGGTCAGTATAGTTGGGACATTTTCTTTAAACTGCAAATACTGTTTTTTACTTTTAGTTAAGCGAAATAATTTATGAGATTTTTCCAGGTACAATCTCATGTAATTTTAAAAAAATTAAAGTTAAGGCTTTCAGAAGTGCATGGTACCAGTCTAACTTTCTTCTAGAAATTTGTAGGAACAGAGACTAACAAAAGCAGAGTTTATTTTAAAATCTTTTTAAAAGTAGATCAGCCATTACGCTCTTAAAGTATACAATGTTGTTCATTTTGTTTTGATTATCTTATTCATCAAAACAGGCATCTTTGTACTAAAGATGTAACTAAAGCAAATGAATTTAGATGCAGAATATTTTGCTATTGTGTTTTTCACTCTTTTCTAGTCTGCATTATCTGATGATCATACTTGTCATCACAGTCACTTGAACAGTTATTTTGTCGTATTTTTAATCTTGGTTTATCTTTTCATGTAAATGACAAAAGACATTGCAGGTAACCAAATCAGGAATTAAATTAATCTTATTTTAAAATCTATTTTCTTTATCATCAGCCAAAGCTAACTTAGTAAACATTTTAAGAATATAATTTTATGCCCCATCAAAGGCAAGATGTTGTCATTATCTTTTATTAAAATAATCTAAAATATGTTTCCAAGTGTGCATTTGGCCACTAGCAGTCATCAGCACTTATGTTTCACTCTTGGTTGGGTAGCCTAGAGTCTCATAAAAATGGCTGTTTTCCAGAATTAATTGTAGTATTTGCTTGTATGTTGTCAGCACATCATAATTTTTGTTTATGGACTACCACCCATACTGGTGGAAGAGCAAGAAGGACAAGTTAGTTTTGTATTGCTCTGCAACCCCCACCACAAAAACATTTGATATAGTGTAACAATCAGCTTAATGATCCCTCCACTTCCACTACTTTTTTTTAAAGAGATTTAAAAACAGATACTTTGGCCTGATGAGGATGCTGTGCATTTTTATAGCATTTTGTATCTTCAGATTACTTTATAAACATTAATTCATTAAGATTAAACATTAACTTTTAGAGTGCATGTGTATTATGCTTGTTCATTCTGTACAGTGAAATTTGCTTTGCAGTTAAATGGCCCAGGAAGCTGCATACCATCTGATATCGATACTGTAAGTTTTGTATGGAATGAATAAATAATAACTTACGTTTTTCTTGTGGGTTGGAAGCACTGTTTCAAGGCTCTAGTCTCACCTATGCTACCAGCAGAAACCTTAAAGCTTAAAATATTTGTTTAGCTAATGTACATGAATATATGCTTTAAATATTTTCCTAGATTGAAAAATGCAAAGTCTAGAGAAATGTTTTTAAATGTTTATTCACACTATTATGTCCTTTTGTCATTGACCAAACAAACTGTGTTGTCCTGCACTGCCGTATTGAATAGGGCTTGAGTCTTGTGCTAAATTATATTAAGCTGTATAAAGAAACATTTTATGCAATTAGAGTATTTGACAGATGGGGGAGTATTATTTATAATTTTATAAAATTACTCTTGTACACCTACATTTAAGCATATGGTTATTGTCAAAGAAATGGAGGGAGATCTGCCTACAGGCACTATCGGTATGGAGCCAATAGCTAGTGTAATTTCAGGAAGTTAATTACACAGGTGGTATTGATCAAGGTCACTTGCTCTGCCTGTTTAATGTTGAATGGGTTCTTTAGTTTACCATTCTTAGATGGATAAATAATACCAACCTGACAAGAATGGCTTACTAGTATTACAAAGGAACCAAACTTTTTTTCTCATGTCTCCTTGCTATACCTTAAAAATTTACCTTGGTATCACAAGGTCAGATGTTTGCTTCCGTGTTTCTCTTTCCTCCCTACATAGGAGTAACATCAAAGCATACATGTTATATGGGAGCTGTCAATCCAAAACGCAAGGTGTCAGCAGACAGAACTTCATATACCAAATTCTTTGTGATAGGCTGGAAAGGACCACATATAATAGGCCCCTTTGCCTATGTGTGATACCCTATGAAAGAATACTTGATCTCCCATGGTCCAGTACTTCCAGTGGATACAAAATGGAGCTATTAATGTCCTCTTTTTTGGTCCAACAGTCTCTTTAGATAGTTCAGTTCCTCCCCCATTTCACTGCATTAGTGTCAAGCTTCTTATCCTCACCTACAAGAGTCTTTAGCTCTTCTCATAAGTGTCTTTGCATGATAAAGACAGCTTTTTTGTTGTGCTTGATGTGCTAGTTGTGTTTGTCCCTTTGTCAGCTTTTCTAATAATTGACTACACATTTTCCCTTTGTTTTCCCTCCCACGGAGCATGCTTCTTGAGCTAATCCATAAAGTCATGGTCCTTGCATGTGTCCCCAAGTCCCACTTCTGTCATGATGCTTAAAATGAATAAAATAATTATAGCTTGGTTAAGGGCAGATAGTTGGAAATTATCATTCATAAAAAACTTTAAAAATACATGTATGTTTATAATAATGTGGGGGGTTTTATTATCTTAATCCTTTCCCCCACTATCTGTCATATATCACTTGACATTTTAGAGTATAAATTCCCTGGAGCAGGAACAGTGAGTTAATATGTATTTGTGCATAATAATATAATGGGCTCCCAGTCTTGGTTTGGGCCTCTGGGCACTATGGAGCCACAAATGATACATTGCATTTTTGGTAGTGTTTATAAACTGTATTCAGATAATATTATAGTTTTAAGACAGACATTCAGAATTTAGGAAATCCTGGGATTAAGACTGCTTTTGCCTCATTCATCATACAGGGTGAATGTTGCATAGGGAGTAATCAGTGTTGTATGTGGAAGGTGGCTGTTATTTGTAAGAACTGTTTCTCACATGAAACAAGGGTAGAATCTACTCTTCTCTGTCTCTTGCTTTCCTCAGGCTGAATGCTGACCTCATGGAGCAGGGGTAGAGTCTACTCTTCTGTGTCACTTGCCCACTCTCTCCTGTTCTGCTAAAAGCTAGAGTTTTGACTGCTCAGCCAAAGTTGATTGCCAATTCAGCAGTGGCTGTGAGAGGGTTGGGCAAAAGGTCATGTGGTATGCAAGTAAATATGGTATTCCTCCTAATAGTCCCCAGGATCTCAGGTAGGACACCTAAAATTGGTGTATACTATTGACAATTTCTTGTCTGTGTCTCATATCTGACAAGAGGAAATAAGAGAACCAGTTTACAGAATGGTTTTGAAAATAAGTTTGTTGAATTTTCTTGAAGCAATCATACATTTTGGTAATAGCCATAGAAAAGCCCAGAAGGAGTGAATAGTTCGGTACTTATTGTATAGTGTAGTTGGTGTGCATAAACAAGGGATAGACACATGTAGTAAAAAGACCTGCTTTTTTCTCAGGTCTGGGGAAGGGCACTTTCTGCCCAAATACTTGTTTAAATCCCACTCAACCGTGCAGTTGGTTCTGTGAAAGGTATCACCCATAAAAGTCTTCATTTTTGCATATTTCCTGTACTATCCTAGCTACAACATCCTTGTAATACAGAGGCAGGCAAAGTCCGGCCCATGGGCTTGATCAGTCCCATGACGGACTCCATTTCTCAGCAGCCCTTGCCTATGTTACTGAGACCGGTTTCCATGGAGACTTCAGCAATGGCAGGTCTGTGACAAGGTGGGGCCAGGATCTTAGGGGGGTCCAGCGATTCACAGGAGCATGGAGGCAATGGATCATGGCTCTACCTGGGCTCTGAGCCGTGCTGTCACTGCTGCAAGATCCCAGCTCTGGCCCTGGAGCAGCTCCCCTTGCCAGTGCTGCTGGGGCTGCTCTCCATGGAAATCCTGGCTCTGCACTGTCATGGCCCTGCCAGTGCTGGGGTCTCCATGGAAACTGGCTGCAGCAATGCAAGCAGGAGCTGCTGGGAAATGGAGTCTGGCTGCCACCCAGATCTGCCATTTTCCCCACCTCTGCTCTAATACTGTCATAAAAAAGAGATGTCCTTTTTGATTTTTTTTAAACTTAAACTGAAAAAAATCACATGGAGTTATGCTGAATCCCATATGGGTGGTAAGGAGGATTAGAATCTTTGTTCCACCCCACAGACCACAATCACTAGAGCTGAGTAATTGTTAACACAGTAGTCCAGCAGGAGAACTAGCTCCTCAAGACTCCTGGGCTTATTCCAAGTCCATTCTCATGTGAAAATAATGATTTTCTTACCAAATCAAGGTAGATTTGCAGAGGGAAATATATTTATCTAGTTTAACTAGATTTGTATTAAAATGGGTATTTCTCAAATATTTTTATTATTCTGACATTTAAGGGATAAACAGAAGACACAAAAAAAACTACCACATAATATTAGAGCTTACAAGAAACTGCATTAGTAAATGCTATTTCTGAATGGTTTAACTACTTCCAGCAATTTGAGTATTTCCTTCAGGAAGATATTTTAAAATCAAACTTCAGTGTATACAATAGTAACATGTTGTTTCATTTTAATAAAATGTATTTCAGATCATTTAACAAATGTAATAATCTTAGCCAGAAATTTTTTTATGTAACATTTTATAAAAATGTCTTTAATCAGTTTCTGAATAGGAGCCATATTACTTTAAATATCACTAAATTGATATCCAGTGTGAACTTTAATTGCATCTTTGTGTGTGATTAATATTTGTGATATATTTTCCTTTCTTAATTTTTTTCTGTAAGTGATGCATCAGGTTTATGATGTTTTAGATTAGAATGTCTGTGTTAATATTCTGTCTCTGTAGGTCCTTTGTTATATATCTTCAGCATACTAGTGCAGAACTGATGGATTGCATTCTGACAAAAAGTAACAGGTAGCAGAACTAATTAAACTACCAAAGCTGTGTGATGCTCTTTCTGTGTTCAGATCAATTACTGACCCTGATTCTTACTCTTAACTTGAAGGAACACAAAATCTAAAGGACAGGAATGAAAGGACAAGTACACACCATATAGTACAGGACAAGTACACACCATTTGTGCTTCATTCCACTCTAACATTTATTTGAAATGTACAGTTTCTTTGAGGAGGTCAAGCCAAAGCTGAAGAGGTTTCATCTTTTTCTTTTCTATCTTTTTTTTTTTTTTTTTAACAAAGTCACTCAGCTAGAGACAGAAAGTGTAGTTGTCAAAGTAAGTGCTTTGAAGCAGGTATTCAGTACATGTTATCTGCTTTGCCTTCACTGAAGTCCACAACAGCTTGCTTCCAACCATTGGGTCAGAAGTTCATGTAATTCATTTCTGTTGTTCACACAGAAGAGTAATTTTTTAATTAAGAGAAGGCACTTCAGTTAATCTTTTAAGGGAGAGAGTTTTGGGGGCTTCATTGTTGTATTCACTCTTAGAGAAGGGAAAGTCTCTAGTACTCTTCTGATGCTGAAGCATAATTTCTGAAGCTCTCCACTTCCCTTCCCTTCCCAACTTGCCCTTAATGTGTTAGGCTCCATTTTTTTCTCTCTTACATTGAATAGTCTGGAGGGGGATCAAGACAAGGAGGGACAAAATTGGAATTTTTTTCTGTTTAACTTGGCAGTTACAGCTTCAGTGGGTAGAAATCAGTTTAATTATTTTTTTTTAGTGCCTGCAAAGTATGTTCAACTATCTCCAGTATGGGAGTGACTCATAGAAAGAGATTTCCCAAAGTTTACCTAATTTATTTCAAGGCCCAAATGAGTCTAGCCCAGGTTAGAATTGAAATTGAATCAATAAAAAAATTTGGAACAAAGCAGCAGAACAGAGATGATATATTGTCTGGGGGAACTTACAAGTATCCATTGTAATTCAGGAACATCCAGGATCCTATCCAGTGTTATCCATTGATTTTACCCTGAAGTCAGTATCTTATTAATTTTGGGGTCTTTATGCTTGTCCCTGTTCCTGTGAATCAAAAAGAATGATAGTAATATTAACAGACATCAGAAAGATATGCCTATCAATAGCCCATTTAACCGAGTTCTTTAAAAAACTTAGGATCTGTGTTCTCTTTGAAGAGAATGGCAGAATGAGCTCCGTCATTTGTATTAGCATTCCGTCTGATGCATATGTTTCCTTCAGCAGTGTAAAAGACTTTTAAATGTCTGGCAGCAGTTCATCTCTTCTTGGCTTATGACCTCAGATGGTTTGAGTGTCTTCCCTGTGTTGAACTTAAGAAGCAACACCATTCAGTGTCCTCAGTGCCATATTTGTGTGCCTCCATTTGATTATTGCCAGTGGCCAGGTCTCCAGTTCTCTTGTCTTCAGTCTGGGGAAGCCAAATGTTTTGTCCATTTTCATGCATTTTCATTTTGGAACATGTGTTAGCTGTGGATATAAATGATGTATGTCAGTGAGGAAATGCCATTGTAGTAGATCTAAGTAGGTGTGATTGAGACTTCTTAGGTCTAAAAGGTAAATGCTGTATTAGAGAGAATACATGGCCTTTGGAAATGTAGGTAGTTCCAAAATCCTCATTTCCTTTTGTGTCCAAACTGATGGAAAAAAGCCATCTTGATGATCTACTTTGATCAAACTGTTTGCTTCATCAAGCAGATAAGCATTTGGAATTACCACTTTTTAAAACTTTTATGATGGTACTTTAAAATTTCTGAATCAGTTTCAGGGTCAAATGAGTTTTATGGGGTTGGGAGTACTATTAGTTTCTTTACTATCTTACATCTTTTAATGTTAAGGCAGCCTTTTGCATCCAAAAATATTGTCCGGTACCTGTCCTGTTCTTGGTTACTTAGACATTCTGTCTGGAGCTCTCTTTCCAACCATTATTCTGAAAAAAATGAATGTTGATCATTCTTTATTCAGCCTCAGCTCCTGCCTTTTTCCTTTGGCTTCATCATTACAGTTAAAAAAAAAATCCATTCTGAAGTGGCATTTGGAATGCAAAGACTATCTTCATAAATAAAAAATTATTTGTCTCAGGTACTATGATAGTTGCAGGCATTCAGCTAAGAGAAATGTAGTTAGAAGTAGACCTCCATTTTATTTAGGTCCTACTTTTTTCTCAGTACTATTCCAGTACTTTTCTTCTGGCTTCTTTTATTTTCTTTGAACTTTCAGAGTAATTTAAATACTTAGGTTTCCCATTTTATATAGTGCTTTTACATAAATATAGGAATTACTGAAACTCTTGTAACCCAAAGAAAATTATAATCAGTTAGGAAGAAAAGATGTTTAATAATCCAAAACTTATTTAATAGTGAAACAGGGTAGGGTGAAGTAACTGATCTGAAAAAGTCATTTTAAATGCATCTTATATGTTACCATAAAGAAGTCAAATGAATTTATAGGCAGGGCAAGTGTACCCTCTTCTTTTAAAATTTTGTTTTCCATTTTATTAGTGAATGTTGGTCATATCGTAGACTTGTGGTAAAGTCAGTGCAGAAACATTGTGTGTTGTGGACACATTGAGTCTTTTAAGTTGCAATAAACTGTTCGCCTAACTTGACTTGGAGTGATCATAAAAGATTCTGTCTTTGGGGGAGTTTTTTGCTTTTGTATAGATCTTATTTTAAAATGACTTGGTATGTGAACCTATGTAATTACTGCATTTCCAATAACTTTTGAGTTGCATGCTGTATTGTTCTAATTTTACCCTCTAAAAAAAATAAACCTCATAAAAATTGAACTCGACTTATAGGCAGGATCAGCCTATAATTGAGCCCCCCTGCAGTTATGACTTCTGTACTTACTGTATTTTTGTGTTATGTAATAAAAATACGAGGTCAGAATTTTTTTCAGGATAGTTTTTATTTTGGAATTTTTACTGCATTTAACACTTTAGGTCCTTTCCTTGACTGTTTGATTCTCCCATAGGATTTTGAAAAGGGTACTAGCAGCTTGAGGCTTTTATCTCTAGTTACTGGACTCTGATTTAGGGGAGAAAGCTGCTTGTTTGCTTGTTTTTAAATTGTGAAAGTAGCAGGTTAACTTATAATTGTAACAGATGGTGTGTGAGGGCAGCTCCCTCATCCCTCACCCAAAAAAGAAAAAAACTCACAGTATGACTTGTTTTATTACAAGTTCTGAGGGTAACAAAGCATGATGCTTCACAAGTAGAATTGCTACTGCTATTGCCCTAAGAGCCCTTAAGAGACTTAATTGAAAAATATTTTATTTAAACAATAGAAAGTAGTAGTTATTCCTTAGATGCGTTGTCATTTTTATTATTTTGCATGAAGAAATTACATTGAAATTGCATTGAAAATTGGAATTAAAATTTGTCATGCTTCTATTAAATTATTAAAAATGGAACTTTGAGGTAGGAAGGTTTTACTCTAGAAGTAAACTGAAGTATATCTGCAGGGTAGTAAAAATTCAATACTATTTTGACCTGGTCCAGGAATTGTATCATTTTCCTAGTGATATTACAAGGGTATAACTACATTTTATTGTTTCATTTCCATAACAGTAATTAATCTGTTTCTTTTAATTATAGTTTATTGCCATGAAAAGAAGGACGTGATAAGGTGTTCGCCTTATAAAATTTGGCTTGCGTATGAAATCTGGCAGGTATATACATTTGTGTACATGTGTAAGTATGTAGACTATTGCTATGTATAGTAAAGATCTACTGACACCTTGTTAAGCATATTTTTAAGGTAAATGCTAGTGTTGTTTTTCTGAAGGAGTTTTAAAATGTATATTTTTGTAATTACATTTAAGAACTGTATATATGCTGTGGAGATGTGCATGGGCATCATAACCCTGTAATAGGAGTTTAACAGAATTGAGAAAATAAGGGAGTGAATGATTTGCTGTGGATGACTAGTTCTTGTTTCTTCACTATTACCTGCTATTTTCCTGTTTTTAGAAATCTGGTAATTGCAGTGTATTTTTATTTCAGTCAGCTACCTCAGTGACATTTTGTGGATCATATTTCACAGGTTAAATTTGCATTGTGTTCAAATGCTTTCTTGTATTGCTTCCTTTTAAAATTAAGATGCATGCTCAAAATCTGTTATGTATCTGTTTGGATTTGTATATCTCCCTCACCGGGCTTGGAAATATACTTTGAAAGCCATATATATTTCAGTATTACTTCCATTGCTTACCAGATACTTAGATAACTCTCACTGCAGTCAGAAGACAAAGCAGTTTCTGCTTCTGGAATACTAAATGCTGAAGTACTTTTTATAGCCCAGGGCTTTTGTAAGTTGATATGCTGATAAAGTTTCAATTACTATAAATATTTTGAGAAGTCTTTTATCCTTTCAACTTAGGTAATACAGCGACCTGTGGAATATGAGTGATGACAAACCCTTTTTATGCACAGCCCCTGGATGTGGCCAGGTAATGGGATGACAGGAATCTATTAATGTAGGTCAAAGAAAAGAAAGGTGGGAGTGTAGAAAGAGCAAAATGTATTTGGTTAGATTTTAAGAATAGAGATTTCTTAATGATAGTTGCTGGAATGGGACTGTGTGGTGGTGTTATACTGTAAAGCAGGTGGTAGCAAGAAAGTTTGTTGATTTAACAATGCCATCCACAGCAGGATAAATTTAAATAACCCCAGGTCATATATCTGTCAGGAAAAAAGTATACTTTTTTGTGTTAATTCTGTTGTAATTTTCTAAGTGGAATCAAATAATGCATTAACATGTATGATATTATTCATCATTTTGTTAACCCTCTATAAGAATTAGCTGCAAACTAAGTGTGATGCACACTCTGGTATTCAGGAAGTCTCTGGACGTTAACTGATGGCAGGGAACGTGTGTAGCAATGCACAAGGGCATCACTACACAATGTTGAAAAGTTTCAGAAAACTTCTGAGTCTCCCCATGTGTATAATACTCTGGTATGTAGATTGATAATGACAGCTTTGTGATGTGAAGAAATTTAATGAGATAAAATGAAAGCATCATCTAAGAATATAATACTTTATTCCTTTGGATGGCACACGTTTTAAAAGAAAATATTGATTGTGGAAAGTAAATTCAAGTTGGAAAAAAGGGTAAAAAGCTCTTATGCAACACAAAGGGTATAAGGTTGCAAATGTTTTGGGGTTTTTTCCTAAAATTGAGAGAAAATTTGGGTGCATCTCAGATGCAAGGAGGTCTTCATTTTCAAAGGAATACTTTACATAGTGGAAAACTAACCCTTCATTATTTTTTTTTGTTTTCATGTACCATTTTTTAGCATATATTTGGTATATCAACATACAAAAATAAATATGACTAGGAAGGAAGGGGAAGTGTTTCTGAATACTTTATCTGGTTATTTAAGATGATGTAGTTTTCAGACTGTATAGTTGACTTGGTAACCACAAATAGGGAAGTTTTCTTTTATCTATTGTATTATCATTCTGTGTCATGGATTTATATATAATAATCTGAAAACTTGTCGGTTTGCTATTCATATAGAATAGGACCATATTGGTCTGTTATGAGTTAATTTTCTTATAATATTAATTCATTTAGTTTTATTTATTTAGATTTATACATGTTCAGAAGTTATCTTAATATTTGTTATGATAACTTTAATTTTTGCATGATAACTTTCTTAAACTTACTATTCTGTTACCATAGCCATTTTCATTTAGTGTAGGAAAAAAAAGAGGTTTTTAATATGTTTAATACACTCAGATGCATCAAAATTGGCAGAAGAGGTATATTTTTCAAAGTAACTTTACTTTTCCCCATTCTGTTATCAGAACTAGCTTGCTCAAAAATGTTCTGATTACAAGATCTTCCACAGAATATTCATGGGGCCCAGGGGACCCCCAATGGCTTCTGTTGTTGGGCAGAGGGAGGGAGGTGTGGCATGTGAGGAGAGAAGGGCTGATAAGGGCCAAAAAAACCAGGGCGCTCCCAGATACCAGTTTAAATTGGAGTATAAAGAGGAGGGGTTCAGACTCCTTCAGAAGGACCCTCTATAACACGTGTTGGGGGCAGGAAGAGAGACTCAAAGCCTACTGGAATGGTAGTTGCTCTCTCCCCAATCTTGGGTCACACATGGGATGTGAGACCTCTCACGTACTGGTTCACATTCTAGACTCTGAGATAGAGGACTGTAAATGTTCCCCTGCTTCTGCCACTGATAGTGAACTCAGTCAAGAAAGGGATGAGGGAATGTGGGGTGCACATCTAGGGTGCAGACAGAAGTGCAGCTCCCAGCTGTAACTCAGAACTTTTCTGCAAAGTGTTCTGAGTTACAGTGTTACCCCAGACCAAACAGAAGTTCACTATCGGTTCCAGGTGGGAGGGGAATGGCCTGGGAGCCTGCAGCCAGGTTCCCATAGCAACAGCCTCAGCTCTCTGTTTTCAGAATGGGAAGGGGGAAAGGCAATAGAGGGAGCTCATTTTTGGGGCTCCCCAGCTGGTGCTGAAGGGTGAGGTGGGTGAATTGGAACCCCCCCCCAGGGGGTCTCCAATAAACCCACCCTTCCGGGGGGGGGGGGGTCTGAAAAATCCCCAGATGGAACTCCCTGCACTCTGTTTCCACCCTCTCATTCTGAAAACAACACCAGGCTGGGAGGCAGTACAGGCACAAGTTACAGAACATACTATATTTTGAAACATCTTTATCTGATACCTCATGCAATGAGGGATCAGATTTTTACCCAATGAACCATTTTTGAACCTTTCTGCACCCTTACACTTGTGTTTAGCCATGGCTATAAACTGATTTCTGTGGCCAGATCAAGTGAAATTTGTCACTTCTGTCTACACCCCTAGATTTGCCTTACACTAATAAGGTAGTTATCCAATAGTATGCTGATTCTCAGTACCTGTTCCAGAGCACAGTTCTAAGGGACAGAGACTTCTTACCTCAAAAAAACCCCCTTTTGCCTATCAACCCTCACAACATTCTCCCTCACTGGTTTCACCCTCCCCACTGTATTCCTCAAACGTACCTTAACATTTGCACATCTTTTGATTATGTTATGAGAAATTCCTGTAGAGAAAGGCAGTGTTTCAGGACCATCTGGCCTGATGAGCCAGTGTCAGTAGAGCCAGTAGAAAGTTGTAAGCCCAGAGGATCAGGAGCAGACAAAGTCAGGTGCCAGAAGCAGGGGTCCAGATTAGAGCTACAAGCCACATGGTCAGGATCCAGGAGTGCGGGGGGGTGGAGCCAGGACGTGGGAATTGGGAAACTAGAAGTCAGTGGGCAGGAATCAGGAAACTAAGATTCAGAAGCCCAGGCTAGACAGAGAGCCATCTATCCTGTTAAATAGATTGAGCTTTGAAAAGGCTGCTGCTTATCTGCAGGGAGCCCTACCTTTGTAGGTAGCCTGAGTTAGCTAGAGCTAGTTAGGCAGCTGGACAGCTAGACCCACTAAGGTAATTGGGGTCAACTGGGAGCTAACTAGCTTGCCTGCTGCCCCAACTCCTGAGACCCAGTGACTCATTTTTCTTGAATTCTACTGTTTCATTGTTCAAGAAAAGGGATAAAAACTGAGTCTTGGTTCAGTTACCCTGCTGGTATTTTCTCTTCCCTCTTTCTAGCCAGGGCTAAGTTTCCTAGGTAATATTTTAAGAGTAAAATCATAATTTGTATGTGGATTTAAAAGCACTTTAAAATAGTCTTACAAATGAGGAAGCTTGCTGTCGCAGCCAAATTTCCAAAATTAGCCCAGGCAGAATGCACAGAGAGATGAAAGATTATAATGTACATTTACTGAAAGCTGCCCAAGGGTAGGGTTAAAAATACCAAATTATGTGGGTATAGTTCAAGAAAATGGACTGCCACATGTTTCATTCAGCCCCACAGTGTCTGTGAGAAAAGCCTACCTGGAAATCTTTCTGACCAAAGACAGGTACATATCCATGTAAAAGTCAGCTGATAATTTGGTAATAATGGTGGTTTTACATGTGAAAATGACTTTCCATATCCTTATTTCATTTCAGTCGCATTCAGAATTTTAACTATATTTTAAAACTTTTTGCCACAGCGTTTTACCAACGAAGATCATTTGGCTGTCCATAAACATAAACATGAGATGACACTGAAATTTGGTCCAGCTCGTAATGACAGTGTCATTGTGGCTGGTTAGTATATATTTTTATTAATGGCTTATCCATCTTTCTCCTGGAATGTGCACAAATTTTGTTTATTTTCTGTACATACTGTAATTTCTATAAATCGGTGAAAGAAAATACCATAGGATTACTTCTGACTTTATATTACTTCATAGGAGTACAATCTGACAAGTGCTTATCCATTTTATTTCCCTATAAATCACTTATTTTGACACATACACAGCTTAAATATGGGTTTAATTTTTACTGATGTAATAGTTTATTAACTGTCTAAGCATACATACAAAAGCACTGTTGCTATGCTTAACCAATTCTGAAATTTAGGTTCTGGACATACAAAAAGCTCTTATTCCGCACCGATATTAACTGATGCCATAGGCTGACATAGCTCCCTTATATCCAACTTGGAATTATCCTGGGGAAAAGTTAAATAAAACTGCACTGAGATGCATATATCCCAAAATAGCCATTTCTCAAGCCAAACAGGCTTTCACTTGTTTCCCTGTCACCTGTTGGTAAGGTAACAGGTAGCAGGGAATCAGAAGATTGGAAGGGACCTCAAGGGCCATCTGTCCCCACCCCCAGTAGCAGGTATTTCATGCTAATACCCCTAGGGTGACTGGTATCTATCCTCTTTAAAGCCAGTGTACAAAACCAGAGTAAACAGTTTGTGTGTTGAACTATTTTTTTATGCTCTAGTTGCTTGGTTTAAAAGATTTTTTTTTTTTCTAAAATGTCTTTTACATATTTCAGTTGCCTCAGGGAAATTAATCAGTAGTAGTTTAATGTAAATAGATTTTTAGAAAGCAGGTAAATGTAGCTTAGTTTTTGTTTAAATCTAAACTACTTCCAAACTATATGTGTCTTCAG